TTTCAGACTCATGACCTTCATCTCCACCTCCTGCCCTCCCTCTCCCCCTCCCCACAAAAAATGCTTTTCTAAAAATTGTTCAAATACAGTGAGATCTCTCCAATTAAGACAAGTGATTTGCTTCTTGTACTGAAGGAGTCACTGTCAGCAATACATTTGAAGAGCAGCATGAAGTCAGAACAGGAGGCCATTGGAAACTGCTCATTCAGAAGTTCTCCTGGGAAACTGTACATGACAGGCAAGTTGGGTTTGGCCATAATGCTGATATTCTAATTTAATTTCGAGACCAACACATGCTTTCCACAAAAGTCAGCTTCCAGCAACAAGTTCGCAGGAAGTGCGTTTGGTTGCAAATTCTATCATACCACATGGATTGTTGGAGTGCCAGTTAGACGCAATCAAGACTTTACAAGAGCAGAGCAAAGGGGTGAGATGGATGGCAGTTTCAGGAAGTGAAGACATCACAGTCAGATCAGTTAGATGTTAAACTGACAGCCAGGTTTCTGGTACCGTGAAAGGTTCTACTGTAATGAGGGGTATGTCAGGTTCCAAAGAATGGATTGTAATAGGGCACAAACAGAAGTTTCTGCACCCAGTAAGACATCAGGATGGTACGTTGTCTCCGTGATGCCAAAGTCAACGATGGCTCAGACAGGGTGCAGAATATGCCATAAAGGAAGAGCGACCAGCAGAAGATTGTGTTGGTACCAATGACAGGGAAAGAGATGAAGTTCTGGAGAGAGAAAACCAGACAGGAGGTTAAAAAGTTGCCCTTTGTTTTCTTCACCCACAGAACAATTTGAATAAACATAAGCATCATTGGTTCTTGGGATGTGGACAAGGATGTTGCTGGCTAAGCCAGTATTTATTGCTCAGGGCCATTAAGAGTTGGCCATATTACTGCAGGTCTGAAGTTGCGTGCAGGGCAGACCAGATAAGGATGTTTGGTTTCCTTTCCTAAAAAGGCATTTATGCACAAGGGCAAGATTGTGGATTAGCACTAAAATTTAGGTTATGAAAAAGGGCCTGTGGGTTCATGAGAATGGAGAGAAGGGTTATCAGGTGGGAATATGGCATAAAATAGTATATGGCACATGGGGCTTGTGGGGGGTCCCGACAACATTCCAAGCCAAGCAGTCTATCCAGGGGTCTGTACAGACTACACAGCATACCACCAGTACTTCCACTTTCTCTAGAGGCGGCTGCACTGACGTCAGTCGTCTCAGTGGGTGGACAGGCAGGCAGACAGACAACCCCATGCCTCACTCCCCAGTCAAAACAGTATACCCAGGCAGCCATTTGAATTCTTAGTGGCAAACATTTTCTTGACACTGTGCACCCAACCAGGAAACAAAATCCAAGTGTCAGTTCTGTTGTCCCAGTTGGAATGAGGAGAATCAAGTCTGTAACTCCACTTTTGTCCTCCAGAGGCCAGTGTTTTCCTAAATGTTTGTATGGAACATTTAGAGGACACACAGGCAGACAGAATTGCAATCAATAGATATTAAACCACACCCAGCCTGCATTGTGGAAACATTTAGCTAAGCACTGAGTCAAAGAGCTGATTCTGTGATGATACCATAGTTTTAAGTGTATTTTTTCAAAAAGAAAAAGGTTGAGACAGAGATACCATGCAGACTGGTCAAAACAAATAAGTGGTTTGAGGCTTTTTTGTTGCAAGAACAGAAGCAGCCTGAATGGGTGGGATCAATCTCCCACAGAACCAGGATTGAGTTTTAGTTTACAGTAGTTGCTCGTGTCTTGGAGCTGGCTGTGGAAGCTCTTATTCCTCTGTTCCAGCTAAAAGCTGGGGTCCTCTTCCTGTTGCTAGCATTGCACGAGAGACAATCTATTTTACTGATTTGGTTGTGCCAGGAATGTGTTTTGGGATATTGCTACTGGAACAGTTAATTAGTTGTTAAAACACTATTGAAAGGATTAACAAAATACAGGAAGTTAAGCCAATTTTTTGGTCTGCATTTTAAACTGTAGTGTAAAATGCAAAGTGCGTTTTGACCAAAATTGAGTGGTTTGACAATGAAATTACGTCTGGAACACAATGCCTTTAAAATAAAAAAAAAGTGTTAGGGTCCAGACCCTATCTACTTAACAGTTAGGGTTTTGGTCTGGTTTGATCTTTGATGGAAATGTGTAAAATTCTAACAGGGCCACACTGACTAGATGCAGAGAGAATGCTTCCCTGGTTGGGGATTCGGGAACCAGGGCCCTCAGGCTCAGGATACAGGGTAAGCGATTTATGGCTGTGATAATTAAAATGTTTCTTCAGTAAAGAAAGGGTAGTGAATCTGTGGAATTTTCTGGAACTGAAGCCTGTGGCAGTCAAGTCACTGCATACGAATAAGAAAAAGCTTTTTTTCAAAAAAAAAAACACAAGTCAAGGGGTATGGAGACAAAATCAAGAGGAGAGCATTTAGACACAGGATCAGCCAGGATCATACTGGAAGATGGAGCAGGTTCAAGTGACCAAATTGCCTACTCCTGCTCCTAGGTTCTAGCTTTTAAATCATCAGGACAATGCTTTCAATTTAAGTTATTCAGTCTTCAGTATTGGAGGCTTGCGTTGCACTTCTTTTCATCCAGGAGTTACAAAGAGTATGTACATGTAACATGGGCCAGTTACTTCAGTGGTCTAGAAGGCACACATGCAGTTTAGAATAAACCCAACAGTTTGGGTTCCAGTCCCATTCTATTGAAGTTTGGGACCGGACTCTATTGCCCACCCTATGACGGATTGAATTAGATCCAGTGGGCTACACAGCCAATTATCTCTCTAATAGAGAGATGTCTACAGTCCCTTATTAAAAAATGGATAATTACCTAGACTCTTTGCAACCTCCAATTACCTTAATGATAGTTGCACGGTTCTTCAAACAAGTATGAGAAGTCAAATGGCCTTATGCACTATAACAATTCTGTGATTGTGATTTGCTGAAACTTTCAGAAGTGTTAGTCACCAAAACCATGGCCTTCACTTTTAAGGTTTATAAACATGTATCAGGAAGTTAAGAATTTGAGGTTACAGACAGGATTAAGGGAGATCACAAAATCCGAGGAAGAAAGATGACTTGAGGAACTATCCTTGGTCTGCACCATATGCAGATCCACAACTGACTGGTTCAGCCTAAATAAGTTAGTAGGCCAGACAATTGTTAAGATGCACCAGGCCACATACAGAAGGAACTTGCACTGTAGTGGCTCCAGGTTCTGCATGATTAAAATTTAGCCTCTGAATCCACAGTGAATTCCTGCTGCAAGCATCCACTACTGGATATCAAGACAAGAGGATGGGAGAAGCTGGGAGCCATGAACTGGTGCCTTGTACTAGTACTGGACAATTTGCTAGACCAAAATTTCTTTGAAATCAATTCATCATTAAAATAAAATCAATGATCTGTAATAGTTCAGCTCTCGAAACTAGTGTACTTATTTCTCTTCAACAGAACGTGCAGGACTAGCATTTGTTGCCCAACCTTAACTGCTCTTGAAAGTGTTGAGCAATTTGCAAACTGAAGTTGACTGCTTCTATTGAAAGAACAATTTAAATAACTGTGGATGTTAACCTGCTAAAATAAACTAGATCAGTGTGCTGAGTCACCTGACATGGATTCTGAGTATGCTACAAGACATTAACAGACATTCTAATTTCTGAAGTAATTCAGAATACTTTGAATTTCCTTACACAAAAAGGAATTTTGCAGCATTGGAATAATTTCACTCGATCCACCTTTAACATGGAGTACAGCACGTTAACTGCTCTCCAAATCTGTCCAGTGTGTCTGTGCCTCATGAGGCACGACTTAAATTACTCCATAGCCTTGTTCGAATGATGGGGAGAAGCATCTTTTTTGAGACAGGAATGGACTTGGAGTTCTTCCTCATAAAATTGAGGGGAGGGCAAGTCTTAAATCGACATCAGAGCCCTTTGTTAGGCAGGGGTATTTCTAGGATTATGGAACATAGGCTAGTCAACAGAGTTGCAGACCATCCAAATCAAGTGGTGGAAGAGAGATTGATGGGACTATCAAATGGCTTCCTCCTGTTTTTCTATTCCCAACATAAGAACACCCACTATTCATAAGTAATATCATTGTTTCAGTCATTATTAGTCTCCCAAAATAAACCAGAAGCAAATCAGATATGTTGGTGCTGCAAGAAAGCAAGCACCACATATGAGCCCAGACCAGAGACAGTTGAATAGTTTGCACTGCATGACATGTCCTATTGCTAGGTTAGAACTCAATAGCTCAATTAATACTGTCATGGATCTGAAGGCATGTCTGTTTTTAAAAAGCAAAATGGTACTCACTCCCTGCTTGTCATCTTTCTTGTAAGCAGCAGTTTCAAGTTTGGCCTCATATTCAGCTTGCACTTGATCTCTTTTCCGAAGCACATTCTGAATAGAAAAACAAAAGCTGGTTTGAGTCTTGTGTCAAGCATAGTTTTCCCAACATTTACCAGCCAGCTACCATATCAAAATCAACAGTTTTGATAAGCTTCTCTTTGACAAATCACATTGTTCATTTCAATTTTGCACTCATTTCAGCGCAAATAGTCTCACTCCAGATAAAATGTTGCTTCTGAAAATACAAGGCTTCAACTTGCATCTGGAAGAATGCAAATGGTGAACTGTGCTTACCAAAAGAAAAACAGCCAGTGATATGGCAGATACATTTACATCTCACTTCAACATCCAAAATAAATGATTTTAAGCACTTGAGCATATTCTAGATGCAACATATGCAATATATGCATCACAATGAGTACATGAATTACAAGTTGCAAGATCATCTTTTAATTCACAAGTAACTGATGTTTCAGGATGTCATTGAACACTAACATGTCAAATTTAAAAAGTTGCATTCCAGACAATGTCATGCAATTTTCCACCTTAGGTTTGGGAAGAACTTTTAAAAGGGGAGTAGTGCAAGGTTTGCACACTGAAATAGACCATATTTTTCAGATTCTACAGCCCCCTTTCAACTTGAGTTAGGCATCCATTGATATTCCATAAAATTTGACCAGCAACAATACTAGCAAACCACTAATTCAGAAGCCAATAATCTAGAGACAGGAGTTCAAATCCTTCCAAGTCTTTAGTTTTTAAAACGTTATCATATGAAGTGGCCAGTCACACAGTTTGAGAGGCCTCAGTGGCAATTTCAAAGACAAAATCAGTAATGGGCAAAAACAAAATCCTTGCCAGCAGTACACATCACAAACTTGAACAGAACACAAAAGCACAAGTTTTACAATTAGAGCAAAGAGGTAAACTTCAAGTGGCATTAAAAATACCAATCACATTTCTTAAAAGGAGGCCGATATAAAATCTTTTACCTTCATTGATTCAATGTACAGTACATATTCTCGAAGGACCGGAAGGAAGTCATCAGACATGTCCTCAGACAGATCTTCCAGGGCTATGCAGTTGCTGCCAACACAGTTCGATACCCCAATGAGAGGCTTGTTGAGTTCTTCTTCTATAGCAGACCAGGAGGAATAAATGGGTCCATATTCTCTAAGCTCCACTAAATATTCTGAAATGGTTAACAAAACAAAAAATTCAATTCAGATCTTGCAAGTCAATAAAACTATCTATTTTACACCAGTGAAAAGATCCTTCTCTCCACTTCTCACATCCTCGATGTTCCTGAAGATAAACATTAACCAGAACTAAAGCAATGCCTGAAAAATACCAATTTTCCTTTCATATAAAGTAACTAATGCACCTTGGTGTTCCATTTTTGTTTGAATGCCAGCAACTGCATCTTACCTCCAATGTGGCATTCCTCAGTCAGGACAGGGGCCATGGGTTAAAGTCCCAGCCCAGTCTTGCCCAGCTAATCTAGGCCATTCACAGTACACAGGATAGGTCACATTTTAGAAGCTACCTCATGTAAATCTTGGTTCCAGAAGTAATACTACCAGACAGATTATCAACAAAGTGTTAGAGTCTAGTTTGCAATTTAACAGCCAGGTTGGATTGCAAACATTATTGTATATTCAATTTATTGAAACATTCATTGTCTGTGTGGCATTGCAGAATATCATGACAAATTCATACTTAGGAAAATTCAAGTTTAAAAGATCAGTCTCCACGCTTGGGTACTATGGTTGAGAGAATGGACAGGGATTTAAAGACATTTGGAGGCTACTGTTTAAACAAGCTTAAATCTGTAAGTATCATTTGTTTGTATACTTGGCTTGTTGATTAATTTCCCTCGACGATCATGCCTAGAAACTACATTGCTACAAGCGGGTGGGATTGATTTTACAACTTCTGTTAGCTGCAATCAATGGAGACTAAACCTGGGAAATAGATCTTAATTCTTCTGTCAAATTCACAGTTCAGTATGCAGTCCTGCTGGGTATTGATCCCGGGGCTGTTCCAACTCAGTCAACGGGATATTCCAGAAGAGAGAGTTCCTCTTTTGCAGGAGATGGCAATGGAAGCAGATTTTCCTAAATTAGTTTAATGCAAAAAAAGTGCGAAGCAATGTCAAAAGAAATTGACAATTTAGTTGATACTTCAAAGACAGGATGAACTTTGACTAACAGCACTTGAAAGCTAAATAATTAGGACTTCAAGCATAACAAAATGACAAGATGGCTAGTCTCCTAAAGTCAAGATAATATCAGAAGCCGCTGGGTATCACTACGACTACCACTGAGCGACAAATGCTTTCCAACTGGAAAGAGAAGCTAATATGGAGTCAGATCAGTCCCAAGCAGATGGAGAAAATGTATGGTGGTCAGAGTTATGACTGAGCAGCCTATGAACCAGGAGGTGCTAACTAGGAGTTCCAAATTGCAAGTATTTAAATACTTACAAAACACCCTACCCTAAAAAGTTAACCAAAAAAAGTGACAGTACTCAAGACCTCACATACAAGTTACAAACAAGTATAAAAGTATCTTACCTGCTTGTTCTTTGACTATCCTCTGTGCAATTCGGTCAATTGTCCCCAGCTTCTGCAAAAATGTGTCCAAGTAATCCCCCATAGCAGCAAACTCGACAGGCCGATTTCTTAGCTTGTAACCTCCAGTAACATATTTTACAGACTCCCCCATCTTTGTGATGAAAGCTAGGCCTTGCTTTTTATAAGGATTCAGATCCTACATGATTAAAACCCCAAAAAAAAAAATCAGTTAGTTGCCAGCCGACAAAATTTCAAGGTTTTCTTACCCTGACCTAGAATTAGGTATGATTGGCAAAGAGTTAGGGTGAGAAGCAAACAAAATTTTAATAAACTGGAATGCACTGAAGGAACAATGGAAACTGTTTCAATAATAATTTTAAAAAGGTATTGGATACTTGAAGTGGAAAAAGTTGCAGGTTTATGTGGCATGTGAATAAGCAACTAAATTCTTTGAAAGCCAACACAGGCACAATGGATTGAACAATGTTTTCAAGAAGCAGAATGCCTATTTCTGCTTCCAATTTTTACTGTTTGCTTTAATGGTTTGCAGTCAAAGCACAGAAGTTTGATTTTTGAGATTGTTTATGCACTACATTTCCTTACATTATCACCTCAAAAAAACACTAGTTTCCTGCATTCATACAGTTCTTCAACTAGTTGGTTACATACCACCTAGAAAGAAATTCAAAAACAGGTTGTGTTTGAACCTCAAGCTAGAATTATACTCCTCCAGTAAAAGAATAGATAAGATTTTTATTGGGTGGGTCAGTGCAATATAAAATGAACCCAAGTTTAAAAACTAGCAACTCCGTAGACAGCCATCCAAGAGTGGAATCAAACTCAGGTCCCTGATGCTGTGAGGTAGCAATGTTAACCACTAAGCCACTGTACTGCCCCACAAAATTTGACTGGTTTTTCTTTCTTCTTTTAAAAACTGAAATTTTTAAAGTTGCTGGTTGATTCATTGAGCTGACTGGTTTTCATGCAAATATTTTGTCCCCTTTCTAGGTGACATCTTGAGTGCTGTCTAGCCACAGTTGAAGCACCATTATGTTCCATTCTGAATTTATCTGGCCTGTTAGTGTGTAGTTGTGGTTTCTAGTTTTGCTCCATAGTGGTATGTAGATGCAGTCTATTTCAACATGCCTGTTTATGGTACCAGCGGGTGAAAAATCAGGCTTCCAGGAATTTCCGCTTGTCTTTGTTTTGTCTGTCCTAGTTAATTTGAATGTTCTCCTTTGTCAGAGTGACTAGAAACAAGGGAGAGTTGGTCATGCCGTTTTGCTGCAAGTTGGTCTTAGTTTATCCTGGAGGAGAGTGTGTGTCTTGCCCATCTGTCCTATGTATTGCTTCTTGCAGTTGCTGCATGGTATTCTATGAACACGTTTGTCCTGCTCATTGTGGGTATGGGGTCTTGAGTTTTTGTGAGTAGCTGGCAAAGTGTGCCTGTTGGTTTGCATACTAATCAATATTCCGAGAGGTTGTAGGAGTCTTGGAGTCAGTTCCCTAAGTTTCCAATATAGAGCAGGGTAGTGGTGGAGTATAGTGTCTTCAGTGTCGTTTATTTGATAGGCATCTGTGGTTAGGATACCCATTGCTTGCAAAGGGTTTCTATAGGTGTTCCTCTTCATTTTTGCATAGCTCCAGGGTGTTGCAGTGCATTTTCATTCATTTAAAAACAAACAGTCTTGACACAGCTGTTTATGGACACTGTGGAGGGGACTATTGTAACTCAGGATTTGGTCAGTGTGTAATCTTGCTGTAAAAACTGGCAAGGAATTCACCATTGTTCATTCATGCCACTGTTACATCTAGAAACGGAGTTAATTGTTGTTCTCTTCCCTGGTCAACTTGATCATGGTGTATATGCTATTAATAAATAAGATGTTTTTCTAACTTCGCTCATTTAATGACCATAAAATCATCATCCACATACCAGACCCATTGTTTAGGCTGGATCTGAGGGAAGGCTGTGTTCAAGTCTTTGCATAACTGCTTCCACTAAGACAATTCCAGCCATAACCTGAGCTACAGATCTTCGTGAAAACATCAATTCTTGACCTTAAATCTGACATTTATAGATTTTTGTGAATCATACAATAGAAACAAAGAACATGGGCAGTTAGTTGCCTCGATGGCACAAGCAATAAGCATTTTTGCAGTTCGTTAAGATTACATTGTAAAATTCTAGAGGCCAGATGGTTGGCACCACCTTGCCGTGGTCAAAGGTTAGTGTCGTCTTGCCAAGGTCAAGGGTTGGCACTACCTTGTGGAACAAAAAAACTTTTATCATTCCAATCACAATGTGCAAAAACCTGATACCATTCTCCCAGTATCTGCGTGGGTGTTTCCACTGGGTGTTCTGGTTTCCTCCCACAGTCCAAAGATGTGCAGGTTAGGTAGACTGGCTGTGCTAAATTGCCCATAGTGTCCAGGGAAGTCTGGGTTACGTGGATTAGCCATGGAAAATGCAGGGATACAGGGATATTTTTTGGGAGGGGTGGGGGAAGAGAAAGAGGGGAGGAAGGTCACTTTGGCAGGTTAGTGCTGACTCAAAAATGGGCCAAGTGGTCTGCTTTCACACTGTAGGGAAGTCTATGATTCATGTGCAATGAAGTCTGCAAGTACATTTTTATGGCACTTCCCCCTTAATAAAAACAAAAAATTGTTCACTCACTCACTCATTCTCAACACTCAAGGCTGCCACTGCTATATGCTTACCTCCTTTAATATATAGGTAGGGCTTGTGCAAGTTGCAATTCAAAAGTTACATTACTGGACATTTAAAAAAATTAATCAGCAGTATCTTGACATCCAAAAGCTCCACTCAAAAGCCATCTTACAAAAACCATTGCAGTTTCTGGAGACAAGTTCAAAATAGCACTGTCCTTAGAAGAACACAACATTAACACATCACAAGACTTGAGAATGAACAGTACCGATCCTGGAGGTGAAATTATAATATACACTGATGTCAGTTCAATAATGCCCAATATAGTGCAAATCCATAGATAAAAAAACCATTCTTGCTTAACATTGAAGCGTTATGGACTAATCCTTTAGCATTTAGCTTCTATTTTATTTGCAATCACTTATCACAGCTGGATCCTAATATTGCATTGCCAAAAACTTCAATTCCTTCATATCACTTGATTAAAGTTGAAAATTTTCATACCTTTACTGTAAGAAAAACATTGAAGTGGTCATTGAAGGAGAGAACAGGATGATCTGCAATTCTTTTCAGAAACTTGTCCAGGGCTTTCCTTCTAGTTTCCACAAAGTCTTCCGAAAAGCGATCCACCACTCCCTTCACTACAAACTTTTCTGGAAGAGGCTGTACAAGAGAAGTCTCAATTTATTAACATAGGTAGTTTTACAGTTTTGTTCCTATCCTCCATCTGCAAATTGGATTTTAAAATTCCATGAAATTGACTCAAGCTGCTCAAAATTGATTTGGGTGTATGACTGCCAAGAGATTGATCAGGCTGGGGCTAGAAAAAAGAAAAGACAGACTTAGATGACCTGATGAAAAGCTTTAAAATTATGAAGGGTTCAATAAAATTAATAGAGATGATGTTTTCACTTGTGGGAAAGAACAAGACTAGGAACCAATAATGAGATTGTCACTAAAATCTAGTAAGGAATTCAGTAGAACATGGATCTCATCAACATGTTAATTAGCAAGATGAATAGTGCACACATTTAAAGGAACCTACTAGAGTATATAAACAGGAAAAAGGAATCGAGGGATGTGCTAATAGGGTTCCATGGAGTGAGGTGGAGGACAACGTATGCATACACAAAGTACAACTATTAGGTTGGATGGCCCATATCTGTACTGTAAAATTCTAAACAATTCTAGGTAATATAGCACAACTTAACATATCCCCTGAAGTGACCATTTTTGAAAGGATATCAACGGTTTGTAAAATACATCAACATGACAACCATAGTTCACCGGTTAAGCCGGAAGATATAGGGTATTATGCAGTTTACCAATATTATATTGTTAGATCAAAACAGATACCGAGCACAAACAGATCAGTGCAATGGACAGAGGAGGCAGAAGACAACACTTACATGGTGATGAATTAAGAGGCTATACATATTAGAAGAAAAAGAATTCGGATGAGTCTGCTTATCACCAGGCCAAGACTAAGGCCTAGGTTTATCTAACAAGCACAGCTAACAGGAGTAAAGGTGCCACGTAATAAAAAAATTCTTAAGGCATTTCACAAGAGCATTCTAAAAGTAAGATTAAACCAGAGGCACACAAGGAGAAATTAAGTCACGTAACTAAAAGCTTGGTCAAAAGGGGTAGGTTTTAAAAACATGCATATTAAAGAGAAGAAATGTGGAGTAGTGAGATGCTGCAAGGGCATTTATTTGCATGGCAGAGCAATAAATGTGCAATTTAGATTCAGGTCACAGAGAATGTGCACTAAGCTATATGGTTAAGAAAGATTTATTACCCTTTGAACTGTGCATTACAGTGTAGACAAGCACACAAACAATGCTGTCAGCCATCCCACTTCATGTTTATACCCAATGAAAAAAAAAGTGCAAAAACTGTTTAAAGAGTTATTGCAAATCCTTGAACTGCTTCTACAAGGGGCTTGAAAAAGAGAACAAATTATGATCTCAAAATGTTACTTCAGGAAAAAAATTAACAGACTTGTTCCAGCACCAGTCAGCTCAGTGATTTCCCAGCTGCTGCTGGGTTTGCACTCTGCAAGTGTCACATGCATGATCCACTAGGATGAGTTTATAACCTATAACAGTGAGGGCTGTGACTGCCAGAAATTTATTTAGAAAGAAACATTTAGGTCACCAAAAAGCTACGTCAAGTCAAAGCATCAAAGACCCAACAATTTGCCATAGATTGAAAGTGACTCAAACTCAACCACACTGCCCAAGATAACTTTAAGGATTTACTGATGCCATTAGAATTGTACCCTGAACTACAGTGATGGCTATACAATTCATTGCACATTGCCTTGTAGCTTGATTGTTGAATCAACAGTGCAGAAAGGGGCCGTTTGGCTCAGAGTTTGCACTGACTATTTCATCCAGTCATAGATCCCCAGCCTACACCTATAATCCCACATTTACCGTGGCTAATCCACCTAGCCTGTACATCAATGGACACCTTGGACAATTTACTGCAGCCAATCCACCCAGCCACGCACGCTGTTAGACTCTGGGGAAAAGCTGGCGCACCCAGCAGATACCCATGCAGACAGTGAGAACGTCTGTAGATATTGCAGTCACCCAAGGCTGGAATAGAATGCAGGTCCCTGGCGCTGAGGGGCAGCAGTGCTAATCACTGAGCCACTGCGCCATCCTGCAGTATTAGCCAAGTTATATGCTATGCAATAGGAAAGAAAAATCTCAATTTGCAACACAGTCTGCAAGTCGACCTGCTAAGACAGCTTGATAATGCCAAATGAGAAATATGGTTGATATGCTGATGCCTAAATTACAATTCATTTTCACATAACTACAGATGTCACCTGCAGCACAGCAGATAGCACAAACCAAATGCTTGACATTCAAGCCCAACTCCAGGACTTCTCAGCCAAGGGAAAAGCATTCATAAGGTGGTAAAAGAGGCCGAGCAATGCTTTCAACACCAATGACAGGCAAAGAGAAGGGGTCATCCATGTATTCAGGAGGTGGGGAAAGGGGGAAGAAAAAGGGAGGATGAGAGGGGTGTTCAGCCCATCCGACTGCAGCACTGAAGCCGACTGCCAAGGGAATTACAAATAGTAAAAATCTGGGCTATTTGTAACCTGCAGATTTGTCAAAGAGAGATTTGTATTATGCAGATTAGTGCAATTTCTTTGGCCAAGTCAATATTTAAATCCAACACTGCATCCACAATATTTTGCTTTTATTTAAACCCAGTTGAAAAATCCAAGGATCAATGTCTCTTGCTATTTGTGCAGCCTCTGCAAAGTGTTTAAGCACTTTCAATCCTGTTGATAGGCTAAACTGTTCAGTTTAATACGAAATTTGCAAGACCTACAAGAATGCCTCGAGTCAAAAGTGAGATGCATCTCACGTACAGTGTACTTCAGTTCTTTGTTATGCAGCTTAACATGTGACACTTTCTCCAACATTATAATCTTTGGTGAGACTTGTCCCTCTTCTCCTACAAACACCCTAGCATCCTGAGTGTTTTTGACTACTTTACACAGTTGGTGGGTGGGGAATAATGAACCTATACCCAAGGTGCCTACTTGGCTTCCTTTCTTTAGTACGTTGTTAGATTGGAGCTTACACAGACAGTGTCATCTCAAAGACCACTTTGACTCTAATTGCAAATATACAGCATAGGGCAGTGTGTGCCATTTTAATGAAAACATGCATGCCTTGGGTCTCCATTGAAAACATATTTCATAGGTAATCTTCTGCACAAGTACTACTGGAGTTGCCTCATTGTTGACATGAGACTAGTGCAGGCAACATTGCTATAGGAATCTAATTGACTGCCCATGAACAAGATATAGTCACATCTTTCTTTTCCAACTCCCTACTGGGTGAAATCACACTGTTATCCCACACCATGTAGACCCAAAAAAACTGTTGAATTACCAGCCTGAGTAAGTCCATTTCAAATCAAGCCAAAGATGGGTCCGCTATAACTCACCTTCATTTATGGACTCAAAAGAAACAGGGTGGCAAAAGTGAAATTAAACTGGGGACAGCAGAAAAAAAGTTTAGGACTTCCACCTTGCTATCCCACATTTCTTGCATTTTAAAGAAGATCATGCAGGTAGAAGGATCAAGTTTCAGCTTTGTGACCTCCAAACAATAATTAGAGATAGTAGGAACTGCCGATGCTAGAGTCTGAGATAACAAGGTGTAGAGCTAGATGAACACAGCATCAGAAGAGCAGGAAAGCTGACGTTTCGGTCTGGGCCCTTAAGAAGGGTCCGACCTGACACGTCAGTTTTCCTGCTCCTCTGATGCTGCCTGGTCTGCTGTGTTCATCCAGCTCTACACCTTGTTATCTAATAATTATTAATAGCCTCTTTGACAAAGGGAAAGGAGGTCTTTTTGATACTGGACCTCTCAGGAGTTATCAGACCTTTGGACAAAAAAAGAACTTCAGGATGCAAAAACCGAAGAGGAATATGCATCAACTTAAGATTTCCACATTACTCCCACTTCTAACTGGGCATTGCAGTAATGGCAATACTAAACATTGATTAAACAGATGATTCGAAGAGGACAGAAAATGAAATAGCTATTAGTATTAAGATTCATGTGCAATGTATAAACACCAAACATGCAGAGAAGCAAGCAAACTTAGACAATTATTTGGTACCTACCGGAATAAGATGAGTCGGCTGAGATTCTTCCAGTTTAGTCCTCAGCCAATCAAAATCTTGGTATCTACGTCGGACTGTGTACTCTGGTAAATCAAACTCATTTCTGGTGGTCTGGAAATAATCAAAGCCATGAGCAACCAGGGAGCATCAGGCCAGAATGTCAACTTGCATTTGAAAACTAATGTTCAGAACATTCTAAATAGATTTTGCACTTTTAAACAAGTGACAGTATGCACAATTCTAACATTGAGCAATTAACTTAAAACCACCTTGAGAAATAAAAGCAGCTGGGGATGCATTTTTTGGGTCATGCTTCGCATAGTTATAACTATGATTGATCATATTAACAGGTGTAAAGTTTTTCCTGTTGAGGGATAAGGGGAATTTGAAAACATTTGTAGATAATCAAAAATCAGTCCCCATCAAGGATCAAAAGCCCGTTTTGGCACAAGTGCTTCAAATCAAGGTTGGTAAGTCAGAAATCAGGATGGAATATTTTACACATCAGTTTCCTACTTTCCCCTGCCATAATCACTACTCTTAAAAAGAAAAGCATCAAGGTAAATTTAGCTTTATTTTTCAAATGTCAGTGCCAAGAATTTTGAATTCAAGATTATTTCAGTTTTTTCAAAGCAAAGGTGTAATTTCTTTCCACAATTTACCATGGAAACAAGTTACATATTATGCACATCACTATAGCATTCATTTTATTCCCAGTCACTTCCAATACTGGTATTGCTGCAGGTAAGAATTGTTACAGTGTTTCATTATTTCAGGTCACACTATTCAACAACTACGACTGCTGCATATGGTAGCACAAGGCTTTTCTTCCAGCACAAGAGACTGAACTCACCACCTAATCACTATCTGAACCTTCAGACAGATGGCAAATAAGGTTTTGGATGCATTGCTAAGAGTCTGAGGAGAACTTGGTGCAATACTGTCTGAAAGGAAATTTAAATGATCCTAGGTAAGAGAACATGCTACTGGACATCAGTCAGGGAAAAGGTGCCAATGTCCAACTTAACAGATTAGAAAGGAATGGAAGTGGGTGGACGTATTAATTATCAGCCTTCGACTGTTCCAGTTATATCACAAGTCAGTTTGTTTGCTCCCCATGACAGGAAGGCAGAGTACACCATACTACTGCCCATCCCAAAGCATTGTACTAGTCTCTTAGCACTTGACTGACAAAAGCTAGTTCTTACTCAAGGGCTGGAAATTCATTCAGCTGAGCAGGGGCTCCAAAAATTGCTTTCTCAGCTGGGCTAGTTTTGTAAGTGTCAGTACAAGTGCATAACAAGTATTGTTAAAAATGACTGCTTTTCCAAAAACAAAAAACACTGCCAGCCACAACCTTTAGAATGCCCACAATATATCCCTCATCTATTTGAGGTCCTGCCACCCCTTTACTCCTGAAACCCTATCATCTGACCCACATCCAGACGTTCGGCACATCAAGGACTCCCAACACATTGCAAGCAGCAACGTAGGGAGTCTCTATTAGTTTAAAATGATGACATTGAAAATAGCAAGAAATCCTCAAGATAAGGATTTGCTCTTACCTTTGTGATAACTCTGTAAGTAATGTACGTCTCCATTGCAGACACATGCTTCTTTGGGTCATCGACTGTAACAAAGAGATCCTTGGTTTCACCATCCAGCTCTTCATCCAGTTGTAACCTATTAAGGAGGGACGAGGAAGATGCAGGACTTGATGTCTCCACTGGTGTCCCATTGGGTAACATTTGATCCTAAAAAAGTGGATAGAGTTTTTGATCACCATTTATCCAGTTGTGGAAACAATGATCTGCTAACTTAATTCTAGAACTATAAAAGGCATATTAGAGTTGAGTCAAGTCAACTTGGATCACAAAAATCAGAATTAGGCCATTTAGCCCCTTGAACCTGCTTAGCCATTCAACAAATCTCAATTGATCAGACCACAACCTCAAATCCATATTCCTTCCCACTTCTGCACAAATGAAGCAAAAAGACTTGATTACTTTTGTAGTTAATTCCCCTCTTAATAAATAAGACTATTGGCTTTCCTAATTATTTGCTATACCTGTACTCAGACTCATGCACAAGGACAACCAGATGACTCTGCATCCTCTTGGTTTACATTCTATTTTGTTCTTCCTGCTGAAATGGAAGCATTCACATTTTACTCACATCATACTCCATTTGCCACATCTTTACCCCCCTTTTTTAAAAACCTTGAACTTAACCACATCTTTTCATAACCTGGTGGCCTCTTTACAGAGATAGCAGGAACTGCAGATGCTGGAGAATGAGAGATAACAAGGTGTAGAGCTGGATGAACACAGCAGGCCAAGCAGCATCAGAGGAGCAGGAAGGCTGACGTTTCGGGCCTGGACCCTTC